TTTTCGAAAATTTGTGTTATGTTCCGAAAAATATTGGTTGTCCGGAAAATTTTTTTGACCCCTAAAATGGTACACTGACCGAAATTTTTTTGGCGACGGGGGGGGGGGAGAGGTCGCCAAAATAATTTTTCCGGAAAAAATTTTTTGGTAGTAGTCGGGCAGAATCCCGAAAAGTCGGGCAATTTTCTTTCCGCCCCCCTAATTTTTTCCTTCCGGTACGCCCATGTCAAAATGTCAAATGTATAATAATAATGAGAATTAAAGCTATTTCGTTTCAGATATATTAATATACTTAGGGAAATATATTAGGAGTATACACATTCGCACGTTAGGTTTGGCATGACTCCGGGAAAATCAAATGAGATAACAAGTTTCATTGGCTGCCATGAATGAGATAACAAATTACATTGGTTGATTTGTGGGATAACCTGAAAACGTTACCTTCTTTCTAACACTCTTCATCATATCAGCCCTTTCTGCAACCATCTCCTCAAACTCTTCTGCAGATGGATCTTCTGGCTTGATATCTTCCTCGTCTAAAGGGTCTTCCATCTTCAATTAAAAGAAACGAATTTTTATGAATGGAAGCAGTGATAATCATTTTGCTTGGTTTATGTAAACTGCATTTTGTACTTACCTCCATTGGAGTCCTTGCATGCCGTCCAAAATCAGGAAGAAGGGACTATACTTTGTCGAACCTTGCTTTTGGGTACGAATTGAGAAAGCTATTTCTTCTAAATAGTCATCCCAGTTATCTTGGTGTTCATTGATAAGTTTTGCTAGTCACACCTTTAGTGTTTGGTTTGTGCGCTCATCAAGTCCATTGGTTTGTGGATGGTATGCACTGGTGACCGAACGAGAAATTCCCAACTGCATACAGATCTCTGTGTTCACCTGTGAAAATCACAGCAATAGTTTCAATAAATTATCTACTTTCTTGTTCACTCTTTTTAACTCCAGATGGCTTTATGCATCAAAGAGAGAGATGCTAGGCTTGTTAGAGTAAACTTAGAATCGGATATATTGAATTTGAAATGGTAAAGTGGTAAACCAAATTATAAATTACCTTCGCAACAAACTCCCGCCTTTGATCAGATAGCAATTTACATGGGGCTCCCCATCTTGTAGATAAAAACAAAAATGCATTAAAACACACTGTTCAAGATTAGAGATCTGGTATACAAACTATCCAGAACACAATAAATCACACTTATTTACTGCAAAGATAAATTCAATTACTTTGAAATCTGCTGTGTTGGTGTAATGTACTCAGGTGTATAAGATGTCTGTGTGATGTTACTCTGAGTGTATATCCACACCGGGCAGGTTTGAAAAATATGCCTGGCCACGGCGGGATTCGAACCTACGACCTTTGGAATACTAGTCCAATGCTCTTCCAACTGAGCTACGCGGTCAGGACGGTTCGAGTATGCGATATTTCGGAACTGAGTCTAGTTCCTTTGATATCAGTGTAATCTAATAATCATGAAATCTGCTGTGTTGGTGTAATGTACTCAGGTGAATAAGATGTTTGTGTGATGTTACTCTGAGTGTATATCCACACCGGGCAGGCTTGAAAAATATGCCTGGCCACGGCGGGATTCGAACCTACGACCTTTGGAATACTAGCCCAATGCTCTTCCAACTGAGCTACGCGGTCAACACAGCAGATTTCATAAATATTAGATTACACTGATATCGAAGGAACTAGACTCAGTTCCGAAATATCGCTTACTCGAACCGTCCTGACCGCGTAGCTCAGTTGGAAGAGCATTGGGCTAGTATTCCAAAGGTCGTAGGTTCGAATCCCGCCGTGGCCAGGCATATTTTTCGGGCCTGCCCGGTGTGGATATACACTCAGAGTAACATCACACAAACATCTTATTCACCTGAGTGCATTACACCAACACAGCAGATTCCATAGGCGTTGTTATAGACGAGTATCTCACTTGCGAAAGGCAAATCGAAATCATATACAGAACAAAATCTCAAAAGGTATCGGTATGTTGCGGCGAATGAAAAAAAATAGTTTCAAAAACAACATTGGAAAAGTCTATAATGCTACTAATACTACTGCAGCCTTGTTTGGGATAATTGCAGTTATTACTTAATTGCAAACTGCAAAAGCTGAAAAACAGAGCAGTGCGTATACTCACTGGTAGAACTTACGAAACAAGATCACGCGATGTTTTAAGAGAATTACAATGGCAACCCTTGAAAGGTATAAGATAAGATAAGGTATACATAAGATAAGGAGTAATGAAGTGCCAATTAGCACGACGAATATGTTTGACATAAACAAAAATCGCGGTACAACCTCCGTAGCTACAAGCGGGATATCACCCTCGATAAACCAAATACAAATTTTATGAAAAAAGCATAAGCTATGCCGCTTCCTCGGCCTGGAGCAATTTGCCTCTGGAGGCTAGTCAGAAATTCAAGTTTATTCTTGATCATTATTCTCCATAATGATATTTTATATACCTTAATGTAAGAAAGTGACTAGTTTAAATTCAATTAATTCGTTTCCAAGGGCATTGGGTTAAACATTATACTGTTGTACTAGAAAATACATGCATGCAGTAACCCCTCGCCTTTCTTAACAGATCAAGTATAAAAACTCCGCATAAAGTATTCAGACCATTATAAACAAACATAAAAACACAACTGATGCGCCAGCTTAATGAACGATAACATTCGCTGCAAAGAATTAATGTATGGCAGCAAGATTAGCGCATTTACTCGGAATAAGAAATCTTTCACGTCCGGACGGGATGCGATACAATCTATCACATTTGCAAGTCTCAAAATACAGCAGCTTATCTTTGAAGGTTGACCTTCGGCTTAAAAATGAGCTACAAATTTCCATTTGTGCTTTTCCTGCTAGCGTTGTGTATCTTTCCCATGCATCGCTTAACATGATCACATGACCCTTTTCAGCAGCATATTCCAACTTTTCACACAACCAAACCAAGGCTAGATCAGTTTGCTTTGTTTCGCGCTTTGTTTTTTCGGTATATCGGTTGAATGCACTTAGACAACGTAATGGTATTTTGCTTCCACTGCTATAAGTTCAGACACGCCACTCAAAAGCACTCTAACTTTATAGTTGAATTGTGCATTTTGGATGACATTTTCACACATTTTGAAAGTCATTAAAGATGACAATCGTTCTTTTGAGTGTTCATTTTGACAAATTAATATGCGCTGTTCCCAATTCACTTGTTGAGCGTGACTTCGTGTTTGACGAGGATTTCATGATTGATGTAATCACTGCATGATTGATGTTTTATTTCGAGGAGCTTCATTGCTGCCACTGGCAACATGCTTCAGTTCCAGTCGTTGGATTTTCTTCTTACTTGTGTGCTGCGCATAATCGAATCTTCCTGATTTGTTTCAAGTAGATTATCTGAACGATCACTTACCTCCGTGTTGGCGACATCCCAGAGCTTTCCTCGTTTGATCGTAGCGTCGCGAATAACGTTTCTACTTTATTCAGTAGATTCTTTTAGACTTTCTTTTGGTTTCTCGTGCTTTTGGCAAAAAATGCAGTTTTAAATCAACTTCTAAAGTTCTCTTTAGTGTAAAAGCTGGATCCATTTGTAAATAATTTCAAACCAGTGAAAGCGTAAGCGAGAGACTGCGAGTACAAGCATGGACCTTTGTATACGTATATGCAAACAAAACTATCGCTTTGTTTGCAACAAGTAAACAATTATACTCTCGTTGTCACAATTAAAAATGGAAATTGGCGACCGGGCACATATAAGATCGATTATTTTAGATCAGTACATGATTATTAGAAAATGCAATTTACATGTAGCTATTTATCCATACAAAAACATGAGTAACTCCACTTCTCAACGATTTAAGTACAGAAACGCGATAAGAAATAACACTTTGTATTTTTACTTCAAGCACTTGTTTGAAATAAAAATCGTCAGACTAACTTGATTCTTATATCTTGGCGTTCACACATACCAAATACGCAAGCACGATAAGGAAACTAGTGTTTCTGTGGAAACTAGTGTTTCTGTGCAAGTGATATCACAAACAAATGAAACAATAGGCTAAGTGTTATCCAAATATTGTTATACAAAAAAATTAAAAAGAAAATACTTCCAAGCAGTTTATACATTCGAAATAATTTAGGGACAGCATGACGTCTTATGGCTTCAACGACGTAACAAAGTGTCAACCACACCATAATTTTATAAATTCTGGGATGCAAAACTAATAATCACAGTTAATGATCACTAGTGGATCAAAATCTGTTGTATCTAGGCAAGTAAAAGCTTTATTTATCTGCATTTGCCATTGTGATGACGTCACTTTACGTGACGTAAATTGGTAACAAGCATTTACGTGTTCAGCAGATACAAGAAATTCAGAAACTGTTTAACTTTTGCTAAAAAATGCCTTCAGTTTTTTTTTCAAGCTCCTTATTTGAAATTTCGACTAGTCTATGTATATTTTCTCACAATATATCGCTTCGATGTTTTTACGAAAACAGATTATATTTTTGCGCTGGACGATTTCTTGAAAACGAATTCGAAGTAGGGTCCATTACACCAAGAAACACTGATACATAATTGCCAAAGAGCCTTGGTTTAACGTAGACATCTCACAGAAAAACTGCTTTTTATGATTTGAGTGGCGGTTTTTCTTTGTTTTTTGTTTTATTTCACTGTTTTGAATAAAATTCCCGCCTATTTGCAAGATACGAGTCCACAATCATGTTAAAAATGCGTGTCAGCGGTCGTTAATCACTGCTTTCTTTATGTAATTTTGTGGTTAAACGCACCACGAACACAGTTAATTTAATTACGTGATTAGTTGACCATCCGACTAACTACTGTACGTTTTGTGCAACGCAATTAATTCATATAGTAAACTAATTACAGCTAAGGATATAACTACGGTAGTTATTAACGCTAACTGCATTTAAGGTTAACTACGTTTTTATACAACCGGCCCCTGGCGTTTCCCAGCCTCTTACCTGAAATGACTGACTTCTTGACACTCTGGCTCTAAGTGGTTCACGATTTGTAGTTGCAGTTATACCAGCTGGTTGAATCGAAGCATGTGCATCAATGGAAGAAACCGCTGGGTTTTTTAAGACACTCTATTTAAATATAATTCAAAGAAACGGCTTGTATTAAAACACGGAACACTAATCCGGAACCGCCTGGAAGGCCACGGGAAATAGGGAATTGCGGGATGCGAGAATGGGGGAATGCTACAACTTCATTAACTTATGACATGAATTAAAACGTTTGCCATGAACGTTTGTTGTTGTTTCAGAGTATATTCATAACCCGTATACTCGTGTTTTTAGTTATTTTCTCAATTTTCGAAGCATATACTGATAAAAAAAACATTGAAAATAAGTTTATATTAAAATATCCGTTTGTTAAAGGGAATACGGCAGAACTCAAACCTTTGTTTTATACATTTAAATTATTAACATAGTTACCAAACGAAATATAGAAATAAGATTTTAATTAGGCAATGTACAGTGGAGACCTGTATCAATGTCATTTTCATTTGACAGCGCCATGCATCTAGGCCAAATAGCCGAGTTTCAATCGGAAAAACCTTGTGTTTCAACCAGAATTCTCACAATTTGGCAGAGTCCTTCAATTTGGATGAAAAAGGATAGAAATTGGAACAGTGTTTTCTTCAAGCTAACTATACATTTTGAGTTTTGTTGCTTATCACAATTATAAAGCTCAGTATATATGCTTCATATATGCTCTAATTGTCAGTGGCCGGTTGTACAAAATCCGTTTAGTTTTTAGACTAGTCTAAATATTTTAATTTTAATAGCCCGCGTGCAGGCCCAAGGGAAGAATAGTGGGCGTGCAAGCAAGACCCGGTATGTTGTAAAACGCCCCTTTTACTAACACGCCCCAATTCGAGTGTCAATTGTCAACAAAGAACCAGTGACAGCAACCCAAATATTAACAATAAACTCGCATTAAAATGTTGCGGGGTTTTCTCTGCTTATTCAGAACAGAAACAATGTCTAAATGGCTGCGTTTTAACTCCAAAAAATGCAAGCAACGCAGTCAGGCCCCGTTTACATGAGACCGGAACGAAGTCAAACCAGGACCATCTCGTTTCGGTCATAGTATTATCTATAATAGATGTTTACATGAGACTGGGACGAAAATAACTCAGACCGGTGTCAAGTCATTCCGCCTTCTGGACCGAACCGACTGACTTCAGACCGGCATGAATTCAGACCGGGATGAATGTAAACACAAATACATTTCAGACCGGTCTCGGCTGTAATCTTGACATTGGAACAACACATGCTAGTAAAAGCCACCTTGAAAAGAAAATTGCCTGGCAAGGGGAATAAATTGAATATTTTGTGATCTTCGTACCAGTCTCATGTAAACATGTTGACAATTTCAATTTTCATTCCGGTTTGACTTCGTCCCGGTCCCATGTAAACGGGGCCTCAGTAATTGCCAAATCTGCAAGTGCGCATTTTCAACTAAAATCGGAATGGAACAGGCAAATTAGGACAATTTCAACAGAAAACCAGTTTCAAACTTCAAAGTTTGAGGGAAGTCGTGCGACCACATGAGCATTAATGTATACTCCGCAGTCGCCATTGTTATAAATAAATCGTCTCACTTATCAGATCGTGTGTGCAATTTTTGTTGGCGGCGGAAAGTACGAAATTTATTTCATGCAGTTATTTAATTTGGTAAAGAACTATACAAAAGAAGAGAGCGTTCAGAGCGTCCAGATCGTTTCGTTTCAAACGGCAATTGCTCATAATTACGAACTGAAGAAATTGTTAATCAACTTACTTCGCCAAAGGGACACCAATTTTTGTCTGTCATGATGCAAAAAGTATAGTTAGGTAGTTTAAAATTAACATTGTTCCCAAGCACTTCCCTCTTACCTCAAGTGACTCATTTGTTGAAATTGCGCCTTCAAACGGTTCAGGATCTCCAGTTGCAATTTTACCAGGTTGAACCGAAGCAGGTGCATCAATGGAAGAAACCGGTGGTTTTTCAATCTCGATCAAGATTTCAAATCGTTCTTTTAAGTCACTAACTGAACGACATTCATTGTTCCCTTTATCGCTGGTCTGTTGTAATTTCTATATGTGTGTAAAAAGATTTCTCTTTAACGTTTAAATGTTTACATGCAGGAAAACACGTCATTTAATTCACTTAGCTATAGTGCGGTTTTACTACAATCAATCTCTCGTAAAAACATGGAAGTCCGTATGCATAGGCTACTAATTGTGTAGAACTGAACGTACAGGATGTCCTGGATATTGCAATAGTTTTGCGGTTTTAGTGCATGCATGCATGGATTTGTTCAACGTGACAGCCGCGTCAGGGCCGTAGCGAGGGGGGTATTGGGGGGGGGGGTTAACCCCCC